GCTGTGCTGCAGACATGTTTTGCGGTACAGTGAACATGTGCAGTGCATCTTTGATCTTGCTGCTGAAAAGTGGAGCTAGTAGAAGGAAGCCTAAGAAAGGGACACCGTCGGCTGTGAGCTCATGGTGGACAGGGCCGAGGCTGCTTTCTTTAAAAGACAGTCCCCTAGAAATCCAGCTGTAGGACGGTCCCTACAAAGGGCGGACATCCGCGAATTTCTTGCTACGTACGGAAAGTGCCGTGCGGGGGAAGCGCCGGAGATTGCCCCGCCGCTTCATATGCCTTCAATTACCGAGAACCCGGAAAAGCCGGGTCCCAGCGTCGTGGTGAGTCCATCGCTGCAATCTTCAACTGTTCTACAGAACAGCTTTTGGAAGAATCAGCGGCTTTCGCCGTACTTTCGTTGCCCAGCAATGTACGCATGGTCGGTGGCATTTCCTGCTGTTCGTCCACTAACCGACAGCGAGTATCTGTTGCCCTCTGGTTTGATCCGAAGCGATGCAACTGTGTGTCTGTCCAATTGTGGAGAAGATGTGGAACAGCCACCAGCGAAGAGAATTCGGGTAAGGGATGCGTCTACCCTCACGACCGACGTAGAGATTCTCCTGGAGAATCGTCTAGGGAAGTCGAGCATAAGGGAGTGGATCAGCCACCTCGGCGTCACTGTCGACGATCTCAAGGAGATTATCCAAAAGGAAAATTCTCAGATGTTGTTGGTGCTTGCAGCTTCAGCGTGCCTGGAGTACCTGAGAACTTATATGGCCACCGCGAGCAACGAAGCCGACTATCAGGAGCTCCAGCGTGCCCATCCATTGGCACTCAACCCTGCGGAAGCGGCGGGAGCAAAAGTTGGCGTGCTAGAGAAGGCGCGATTGTCGGTGCAAAGCCGCAGAAATCGAATGGCATTTGCAGGCAATTCGGGGCCGACAGTGAAGGCCCGACCAATAATCGGCGCGAGGGCCAAAGATCATCCTCCGAAGGCCATTCCGGTTCCAGTGACTCCCCCGAAGCTTCCTCCCGTCACTGCGAAAGATGCCGAAGGCGGAGCCATAGGTTTTGGAAGCCTCGCTGCCTTCGTCGAGGCGGAATGCAGAGGTTTTGGCCTCGAATCAGGCCGTTCTTATGAGCCAGCCAGTGACTCCTGGTTACCTGGTTCTGCGCCAGGGACGCCTGTCGAAGCCTTTTCGCCAAGTGCCGCGCCTGGCCGCCAGGATCGACTCTTTTCCTCCTTCGAGACTTGCCATCAGAGACGGTTGCGCCAGCTGTGCTGTGCTTAGCCTCCCCACCTTTGTAGTCCAAGTCTGCAGTCTGCAGTCCTCTTTTCCAAGAATTTTTGGGTCACAGAACATGCTGAGCCTCCAGTTGGTGAGCCTGCGTGCTGTGCCCTTCTCAGCGTACTCGGCTTGCGCCTGGGAGAAAAGCAAGGCCAGCCTTTCCCAAGGTTTTTTCTTGCAGACTGCTCCTGGTCCTTCATACCAGCAAACAATGGAGTATGCTGCCAATGAGATGCCCATACAGTGCTTTATAAAAAAGGATGTGCAGCGGGTCTCCCCTGACATTCTTGCAGGTGACATGGAGGATTGTGAAGACTGCGTGCTGGCTGGTTGGGCACTCCAGGTGTTCAGCGTGTGTGTACAGCTGGAAGTCCTGCTTTTCCAAGCTTGTTTGCTTGTAAACGTTTTCCAAGGCTGCACCCTTGAAGTTTTGGGCATCACATTCCCAGCATGGGAAGTGGGATGCCCAGTGCCCCAGCTTCAGGTGGTTGGCGAAAAACTCCTGGTCGCCTATTATGCGCCAGATCGGGCTTTCCACGCCTTTGTTGTCAGGGGCAAACCCCTCATGGCCCAGCATGGGTGTCCTTTTTCCAAAGGGTTCTCATTTTCATCGACCTCTGGATGGAACCCTTTGCCAAGATCTGGGCACTACCAACTCGTCACTTGCTGGAACAGCCATGTCTGGTTGCACGATGATGGTAACAAGCCCAAAAAGATACGCTCTTCGTCCAACGCTGCTAGCAATTGCTACTTGCTTTGTCTGCTCCATGCCCAAAATTGAGTTCAGCGCAGTATGCAAGCTTGTGCAGCTCAATTCCGCTGACTTGCGTACTCAGGTGTCCCTGTGTGTCTCACCTCCTTTGCTGTCGCCTTGGTTCCACGGGACGGGCAGCGCAGCAGTTCCGACTGCTCCCAATTGAGGGTCCGCGTGCCACAGTGCATGTGCTGTGACACGCCTGGTGAGAGCTCTCTCGTTGCGTCTGAAAGAAAGTTTTACACGTGTCTCCCAGCGCACGGGTTTGCCACATTCCATGCATATCCTCAGCCACTTATGGTTCATAGCTTCTTCGTGCAGCTTTGCGGCGTTTTGGCAGCAGCAAAAGATTGTTTTGACCCGCCCACGTCCACCCCGTGTGCCGCGACCTGCCTTCACGTCAGTCCTTTAATGGCACAAACCTTTGGTTGAAACTGATCTCCTGCTGATCTGAAGCCGATGGGTCCTGCGATCCATCCGTCCGGACCAGCGCGTGACAAATCCGTAGTGTCTGCGTGGCTGCTAATCAGACACACTTGGCCATCCTGGCTTGTCTGTAGAATGCATTTTCCGCATCAGCGGAAGGCATAGCGCAGCTTGCCATCTGGCCCGCTTTTAGCGTGCAGTTCCCGCATCTGCGGAAGGCGTAGTTACGTAGTTTAGCTCTCCTTTCTCCCACAGGGGCTTTGTTCAGTGGGTTGCATTACGAAGGGATGAGTTACATCCTGTTCTTTTTTCTGTATGCAGCAGCTTTGCATTTGCGAATAAGAACGTGTTTCTCTGCAACTGATTTTTGATTTTGATATACGTTATGCTTCCGAATGCTCGGAAACATTTTCTTGAGTGATGAACGTATTTGGCAAAATAAGCTATGGGCCATTTGTGGCTGGGGATATGTGTAAAACAATCTCTTTCTTTTCTGCCGTTCCAGCTTCTGTCTCCCGCTTTGTCCAAGTGCTCCTGACGGGCCTCTCCGGTTTCCGCCCTAATTCGCTGCAGGTCCTCCATCTTTTTCTTCATCTTGAGCGTTTGGTGCTCCGTCTCTTGGAGTTGTTGCTTCCTTGCCAACTCGGCTTCCGAAATGTTGTGTTCTTGTTCTTTCTTTTTCTTTTTTTTCTTCAGCTGCAGCTTGCTGAGCTGCAGCCTCTAGCTCATTTTCCTTTGCTTCCATTTTCAAGCCTTTTCAGCACTCTTCCGTCTTCCTCTGGAATCTCTCTCGGAGGGTTTGGAGATGGTTTTTTCTTTGCTCATCTTCCATTGTCTTCTCTCCTTTCTTTTTTAAGTGGTCCGTTGCCACTTTCTTTCGGCTACCGACGACTCTGCCTGAAGAAAAATGACCACGTAAAGCATGCTGTCTTGAAGCTGTGCAACCTACAATCTAGCCTTGAGATGCTCATGGTGACTGGGGCGGGTCGTGCAGCGGCCAGCCCTGGATAGCTGTGGCCATGACATCCACACATTGTCGTTTTAAATAGTTTGAAGCCGCTGTGATGCCCATAATGAGCCCTTGTGAAATCCATGTTATGGTGGCATGAAACTTGCTGTGCTTTGCGACTTGGGTACATTGGGGATGGCCCATGAAAATTGATTTGAACGTCAAATTTGGCCTGATCAGTAAGAGGCTGCCTGAGCCAGCAACATTTTGTTTGTGACTGTTTAAACGCGTTTTTCATATTGAAATTGACACGACATTGTTTGAATGTCTGCGCTTGGGTGATTCAAACTTTCCTCATTGCGCAGGGGCTCTTGTAATGTGAATTCTACATAGGAATTGAACCAGGTCTTGAGCCCAGCTGCCTTGTACGATATTTAAGTGTCACAGGAGTTGTTGCAGAGTCATGTGTTTGAACATATGTGCAAGGAGAAATGCTGGCACAAAGCATCCTCTGCACCCCGCTATTTTGAGGCAGGGTATTAAGAATTTCTTGCACTGACATGCCCATATGAACCATCGGATTTCATGCGGCTGTTTCACATGTTTCCCCCAATCGTGCAGTTGATGACTGATGACTTGCTTGATTATCCGAAGCTTTTTGAATTCCGGTAAAGTTCGCATCCAGCATAACTAAATAGTGGCCAGCGTCTCTTGCATCTTTCGTTCCTTCGTATTCAAACTGCGACGCAACGATAAAACATACGACCCAACATTTCACGTGATCTTTCTCATTGCCGGTTCCGATGGGGGGCTATGACAGCTTATGTTCGAACATGCCATTGTGGGCATGTCTGTAATCCGACGCCCTCAGACTTGTGGCTTCACTGGCATCACATGTCATAACGCCCGGTAAACTTTACTGAGCCTTACACCTCCCAAGTCCGCGTAGCAAGAGATGATGGCTTTGCGTTTGTGGGCTGCATTCGTGCCTGCAGCTGGCATTATCGTCAAGGCTGCTTCAGCATACACGGAGTTTCCGAAAAAATCATAGGATTCTCAGTCCTCCTCTTGGGGTGTAATGGGCATGGACATATTCTGGTGTGCTACCATGGAAGTGCCCAGGGGGTGGAATCCAAGCTGGGTTTCCCAAGGCTTTGCCGTTGACTTTGGTCTGTTACATGGACGTAACCTCCTTCAACCCGTTTAGCTGCAGAACGCAAGTGGACAGATCTTGCGACTTCAGATTGCATGATTCCGTGCTGGGCGGCCAACGCCAGCTTGTCTAATTTCAGCCGTAAAAGTTAAGGCTGCAGGAATGGAATACATGCATTTGAAATCGCGGTAGTGATCGTAGGGTTTTATGGTATTATAGGAATTACAAGTGTGTCTTTGTCCTGGCAGGACCTAGACGAGTTTGCTGGAGGTCCACAGAAGACGGAGCCTTGGAGCATTTTCATGGATCTTTCAACGAGCCTTTCCCTCGCAACTTCTCAACATGTGTATTCACTCATTTTGCCAGGAGATGAGTATCAGGGCAAGGGACAAGCAACGGATCAGGGCCCCCTATTGTCAAAAAACAGATTTAGCACCAAGTTCACATGCCGCAGGACTGTGCAGAACCGGTCAATGAAATAGTCCGAGAGAATTGCAGAATTGGACACCCAGCCAACGAGTGGGACATCAATGCAGCAGGTTCCAGCTTGAGACTTGGAGCATGACAAGTTTTGTTTGCCGTGTTTCATTGGACGGCTTTCTTTGAAATCTCACAGATTTCGGGGCATGCGGCGAGAGGTTGCAATGCTGATTTTTTGTCCATGCATTGGATGCTGTATGGCAGATTTTTGTAGTGCTCCTGAGCTACGTTACAATGTTTCAACAAGAGAGGCGCGAAAGCTTTGCAGTGGTGTTGGTACTAGTCACATGATTGAAGTATCAGGCAATGCTTCTGCTTAAATCTGCTTTGACCAAGGATCCAGGGCTTTGCTACTCAGAGTAGCTATGCTGTTGGTGAGGAGGTGCTGTTCAAGGTCAAGACCACGTCTCGAGGCTTGGATTGCAGTCCGAAACACTGAGTTGCTGTTGAGGAACCTCGGTAAAGTTACCATGATGAGGATATTTTGTAAATGATATGGTCTCCTGTGAATGGTAACTTAAGTTAAGTTCCTTAACAGCAACCCCGAACAGCAGATGCAAGTATTAGCGGTTAACAGATAGAACAAAGCAGCAAATCTCCTGTCTAGATTTGAGTCGTTGAATTTCTTAAACTTATGTCAGCCAAGGACAGTATCGCTTTGATATATACCGCCTTGGATGGTATAATGGGTTGGGGGCGCGCCGCGTTACCACCCTCGAGCCCTCTGCCAACCTTCCACAGGAGCAGCCGGAATGTTACAAGGCGACGGCGAGGTTATTGTTGAAAACGTTGACTCAAACACATACATTTGGATGTGTAGATCGTGCTGGTATGCCGTCGACATTTGCAGAAGCTAGACGTTTTGTTGTCGTCTGCGTGACGCCGCCTGTGCCATGAAACGTGAAAGAAACTACAATCACCAGGCACTAGATAGCACTCAACATTTTAGGTTCCCCTTCTCTGAAGTAGTTTTGGGGCAGATGATTTAAGGACAAGCTAAGTGAAAATGATTTTGTCTTGGTCTTCCAAGGTCCGTATGCTCCACCCTCACCTTAATGTATTCGTTTGAAGGACTTGAGAGTCATCTGGCAGTGTTGTCAGTCTTATGATCCGAAATGCACCTGCTGAAGGCCTTAATTCCAGTCATCCGCCTTCTACATCACACCCGCATAAGGATTGTTTCGCAAAGCTACCGGGCCTTAGAGAAACCATAACGGGATGCCACCACAGCCTTGATCTTTTATTTGGTGCCAGGATGATGCAACATTTTTGGTGGATTGTGGGAACTGGGCGGTGAGCGGGGTAGCTTGGCAAAGGCTTATTAAGTTGAGTGTGGTTCGGACTTAACACGATTCTTAAGCTAATTGGTCCTTTCCTCTCGCAGCACTCAGACATGGTCTATCCCGCACGACTCCGTGCCTGGCATCTACTTCGCGCGGCTTGTCATGGAAGACCCACCATCACATTGGCGCACAGATGCCAGCGAGATAATGCCAAGTCCGAAATTTGCAAATCGAAGCTCAAGTCGCAATGGATTTTCCGGATCATTGCGCAAGGAGACCTCCCTTGCAGGAGAGGTCTTAAAGCATATAGGTCTTAAGTCTGAAAGGGCATGTTCGCTTGTTGGATCTTGTGTGTAAGAGAAACCATGGCCTTTTCCTGCTTTTTGCATTCATTTTCTCAGGAAATTGGGACTATCGTGAAATGCCTCCTTGCGGCATGGAAGACTGCCCCAGTATGGCACATGCCTATGGAGCGCAGCGACACCGATCTGGTCAGATGCTGCGCCGCAAGCACAGTTTTCCCTGGAGCTGTACGATAGCATTATGCAGTCAGTGTGCTGTAGATGTGAACATGACTCAAGAGCATCACTACAGACTTGAGCTACAGGACCTACCGGCAATCAAACGAAACAGGCACAGAAAATGGATCTCAAAAGGTGCCCAGGCCAGGTTCTCATTTTTATCATCCTTCGCCGCTCTGAGCTGTCTGCAGACAGCACAAGACAGCACACGTCCCTGCAAGGGTTCCTTTTCTCGTAACATGAGTTTTTGAAGGCAATGTTCTCTGCCCCTGTTTTCGTCACGAATCTCATGTCTTGCAGCAGCAGATGTTTGAAAAAAAGCAAGCTCATGATGATTTGCTCGCCTTGTCTGTAATGCAAAACATATTGTGCTCTTGCGCTTGAGCTGCAGGCAACGCATTGAAGGAGCCTCACGCATCGCATGTTTACTTCGTGGTTCGTCAAGATGCGCGGAAGACGGATATCTTGCTTCAAACCATCGACACGACTTGGCGAGCGTACAATAATTATGCTGCACCCTCCACGTATGGTGTCCTTCCACTACCGCGACACAATATGAGTATGCCAGAATCGTGGCAAAATCGGAGGGCCTACAAAGTTTCCTACAACGCACCTCTGGTGACCCGGGATACCCGTGCTGTCAATACGCTCTTCAACGCTGAGCTGCCTGCTGTCCGATGGCTGGAACGCAGGGGCTACGACATCCAATACTGGACTGGGGTGGATGCACATGCTCGTGGTGGGGAGATCCCCAAACGGGCCCGAGTGTATGTATCTGTAGGTCATGATGAGTACTGGTCTGGGGAGCAGAGGCGTCATGTGGAAGCCGCACGAGATGCAGGACGCTTGAAAGCAGATCTCTGACCATATGGGGCTTTAAAAAAACAGGAGTGCACAGAATAACGTTTATTGCTGTATTTGAGGGTGATCAGGACACTTTCTTTATCAAGGCTTACCTGCTTTGAAACAGATCAGGTTTCCATGCTCTTTGCACTGCCTAGTTTTACCATCCAGGTGTTCATCTTCATTTCTGGAGCGGCAATGAAGTCTACTGGAAAGTTCGCTGGGAAGCGTCTCCCGTCACTGGTGAACCTATGAGAACCATGGTGGTGTACAAGGACGTGTTGTACTACAGTACTACAGCAGTGCATCAGATATCCTTAAGAATCAAGAGAACTGGATGTGTCTGGCAATCCCCGTAAGCAGGTTCTATTTCGAACGTGTAAACATTAAAGTTGCTTTCAGGGCATGTTTCGTCGAACTAGATGCCTAAACGTTGCTGGCCAGGAATCACAAGAATCCTTCAAGATAGATCCGGAGAAGGGGCAGTGGACAGGAACCTTCCGAGACAGCAAGAGCTTCAACCCGGAAGGTGCCAATCCTGAGAATTCCTTGACGGGAACCATCTTTACCGCAACTTGGTCTAGATGTCTGATATCCACACTTTTGACATCTTTCGACTGATGAGCGGTTCAGATGTGAAGAGGTCAACGCATGGCGCCATGATGCGCTGGAAATCCCCGGCGCCTATGCCAAGCTGCGAGTTTGGCGCCATACTGATGTGGCCTCGCTCAACTTGACCCAGAAGGCGGTGCTCTTGAAAGGGCAGCTGCTTTGCATGTGAGCACTTGTTCCTGCTGTTTGCTGACATTCGTGTAGGTCCAGGTTGATGAGCACTGCCACGCTTTCAATTTCTAGGTAGCGTCAGCATGACCAGCATGTCTTTTTCCTTTTACAATCCGACTGTCAAGAGCGGAGTGGCCAGGGAATTGCGCCAGGAACGCCTTCATGTCTCAAAGGGGTTCGTGTCTGTGCACTTTAAAAGTGGAACGAAGAACTTCACAGCCGGCACAACCCCAAACCAAAGCCTTAAACCTCCAAGCTGCCTGAGGCCTTGGTTTGCAGAGCCAACAACGTAACATAGGGGGCATATAGGGATAATGGATAATAAAATGGAAGCTACGAAAGTGTAGGGTTTAGGGTTGGAAAGCCCAAATTTCAAAGCCTAGGCTCTTGGGCCATGAGTGGGATGAGGATTTGGACAATGGCTTCCGGCCGGAAGGCATGATCCGCCTCAGCGAGACCAAGGTGGACAACGTGCAGGACTGCAGGGACGTGTTTGACCGGACGACTGTGGGTAGATTTGTGATAAGATGTTGACAGAAGGCCTCAAGTCTCGAGTCTTAAGGCTCAGGATGCGCCTGATTGGTAAGTTGCTGTATACGCCGCACCGTCGCAGCTTGGTCCATCGAGAACTTTCTTGTCAAATGTCAGTAAGGGTCATTAGAGGCGCATATACTGCCGAGACTCGCCACATCCCTCAGGCTCTGAACTAGATTTCAAAATGAACAGGGATCTCTTGCAGCCGATCCGCCGAGAATCCAATCTGCAACATGTTCGATCAGTGTTCCTGTGAGTTGTGGGCATGGTACGTTACTCAAAGATCGGCATGAAGGAGGCTGCCCCGGAAAGGGTCCCCTGGAGAGAACTAAGTCCTTCGAAATCCTGTCCTGGTGTTGGGGCGGAGGATGGGGGCACAGTTTCGTGGGAATGTCAGTCGTGCCATGAAATGGGGCTGGTTTGCAAACAAACAACGCCCGATGTGGACCTCCCTATTTCCATGAATGTGAGATCCTGATTCAGTCTGTTGTGCTTGTTCAGGCAATCGTGGATCATGGTGCCTGCTTTGACTCCGGCAGTGCCACACACCACTTAACTTTGTAGCTCGGAGCGATGTGAGAAGCATGTTGTGTTGCGTTGCCCACTAGCCAGGCTGAAAGGTGAGGTTCACAGATTGCCAGAAGAAGGCTGAGGAACGACTTTAAGAGAGCTCGGCTTTGCAAAGTATGCTTAGTTGTTTTGGTTCCAGCGCAGCAAAGGTACAAAGCCAAGAGCGGTGCCCTGGTGTTCGGTGCAGGCACAGTGCAGTGGGCTTGGGGCCTCGACAACTTCCATGATGCTGTCACGGGCATGAACAATATGTGGGAAAGCGAGCTTCCCGGTCTGGCTGTTAGGTGAAGTTCAATTTTGGCCTCCCACATAAAAGTGCGTAGCATGCCATAGATCCAACCTTTCGTTTTGCGATTGTCAGAAAGTTGTCCCACAGCTGAAGCCTGAAGCACATCCCGACTCAATAAGCTCAAACGAGTCGGATGTAGACTTGTTGGGTTTGAATGTACGCTCTGGAATCAAGGTACAACACTCGCATAGGCGTGGATCCCTCCGGTCCTGATCCAGCAGTTCAACAGGCCACCTTGAAACCTGACGTCATTTCTCAGAAGCCGCTGTCTGAACATCTGCGGTTATCATGTGGGGATTCATTCAAGAACATGGGTACGTGTAGGTCAAAACGAGAGGGCGCGAAGTCGATTTCAAAGTACAGCAGGGATTCTCATTCTGAGCACTTCTCTTCATTGCCAGCTTTGAGGCAATCCTTGTACATCATACTTATCTTCGTATGTGAGACATTTTCATAAGCGTCCCGGCAATTCGCATGGCTGAAGAACTCTGGCCTGGGATCAGAATGCTTCCACTGAAATCTTGAGCAGTCCGGTCTTGAGCAATCCGGCTAGTTGGCACAATCCCAAATCAAAGGTAGCTTCCCTCTGTCTTGCTCTGTCCCCGCCCGTCCACTGCAAGCCTCCTCGGCGCTACCTATTCTGCACAATGCTGGACATTTGTTCCTCATGTGCCCTTGGAGATACTTGCTTCCAGCCGGGCCAACCTAAGTCTGGACTGTTGAGACTCACTTACTGGGTACAATACTCGGACATCGTTGGACGATCTGGCTTTGGCGGAGCCTGCTCTGCTCTGATTGTGCTAGCGTTGTTGATGCCGGCTCTGTTGTTGGCTTTGCTCCGGCTACGTTGGAGCCCGAGATGGGTGCATGACGGCGTGGAGTGGGCTCTCCGAGGAAGTCAATCAGGGAGGTGTAGGGTTGTCTAAGCGGATAGCTCTAGTCCCGGTCATACTTTAGTGACTTTGCCGTGTCAAGGAACCTATTTGCAGATATGGGCGTGCACGCCCCGATCTTGGGGGAGAGCCTGGTGCGCCCCTCTGAGCTTCTTGGTGTATGGCTAATTACTGAGCTGTGTATTTCTCATTACGGTTCACATCGCAATATGGGAAAATGGTTCTTGTAACAGAAATCACATGGCCAGGTCTACAGACCAGGATCCGCCGGTTGTCTCATCGGTCTCTTTGATGACGCAGGACCAAAAACAACCTCGCGGCCTACTCGCCTCCCGGCAAAACTCAAGAGCTCTGCATCTGAAAGTGTTTCAAAAGGAGCCCCTTTTGGTTGAGAGGTATTCAGGATTCACATACTTTCAGATCTCCCTAGCATAAGCATGGGACAAGCAGCGACGCTTGTTGCCGCAGCAATAGATTTAGCAATGGCCACAGTGTTTAGGAAGCAGTGTTAGTCATCATCGCAACGGTACTGCTGATGTTACTTGCGTTCATCATCACATCATGGGAAATCTTTGTAAAAAAGGACAGTCATGACAACAGTTCAAATCACGTTGTACCAGAACCGATGAGAATGGTGCATAGTCAGAGCCGCACTGCAGCAACAACGTTCTAGGAATCAAAATAAAATTCAAAGGTTTAGGGTGTATTGGGGGTAAATTGGAATATTGGAGAGGAAAACTACTATATTATCATAGGGTTTAGGGGTGTGTCTTTGTGAAGAACGGTCTGGATGGCCTGCCTATTCATCATATGAATCATAGTAATCTAATCCTGTATTATATCCTATTATAACATTGTAGTTTCCATTTTCTTTTCCATTGTCCCTCTATAGTCCCACGTTATGCCCTATTGTAATACTTTTAATTTTCTTTTCCATTATCCCTACCCTAAACCCTTAACCCCTACATAACCCTACAGACAGAAACAGGTCATAACCCTATATTATACCCTAATCTAATATAGTAGTTTCCAATTTCTCTTCCATTATCTCCATATGGGTGGTTGTCAAAATTATGGTCCCTTTTTGGTTCCTTATTATACTACGGCACCTAATATTTAGGGTACCCAAAAAGCGACCATAATTTTGACAACCACCCATATCATATCCCTAAACCCTAAACCCTAAATAGTAGTTTCAATTTTCTTTTCCATTATCCCTATATAACCCCCTAAACCCTAAACCCTAAATAGTAGTTTCCATCTAACCCCAGTATAATCAGAAGCAGGTTGTGCAGGGCAAGGATGCAGCTGGGGAAGTGGCAGCTGTGGAGTGGTCCTCTGATCGCAGAGCCTCAGAGGGTAATTCCTTATTTTAAATGGTATAATATAGGGGTTATAATGAAGGGTTTTATAGGGGTAGTCTAGGGGTCATATAGGGATGTAAGGGTTTAATAAAGGGTTATATAGGGGTAATCTAGGGGTTATATAGGGATAATAATGGAAAAGAGCATGGAAACTACTATTTAGGGATAATGCTGTCTTAATCTTGCCCATTAGGGGAATCTTAGGGATTCTATTGGGGTGGGATAATTGCAAATAAGACGGAAGCTACTATGTAATCAGTAACAATACTGAAAATTCAAACAGTAATAATAATAGGGATAATGGACATGAAAATGGTAACTACTTAGGGTCATATAGGGGTTATATCAGGATTATATGTAATTGCTGTTTGGATTCAAAACAGTGTGGTGCTCTTGACAAGGACACTGGCACCCGATGAAGCGGCATCTTCTTGAGTCAAGTCGGTGGGTTCTGGACGTCCCATCAGACGGAGGACCAAACAAAGGGTCAACTGTTCTTTATCTGTCTGACACAAGTCTCCTGTGCACCTGTACCGGCGCCTGCAGGAGATCTTTGGTTCCGCGCAGTTGATGACTCCCTGAACATCGGGAAGGAGCACCGCTGGAAGGCGACAGTGGAGCTGTAAAGCAAGAGAGGCAGGTAGGACATCGCAAGACGCGGGCCCACGGACGACTGCTTCGCCAAGCTGTGTGCATCATCCTTCAGAAGCTTGGGAAAGTCATGAAGTAAGCGATCAAGAGCTGGAGCACGGTCACGTGGCCGACTTCAGTGCTGCCTGAATGGTGTCGATATGTCACAATGGGCCGGACACAGCCCGGGTAATGCTTGCAGAAATTCGCAGCCATGCCCAAGCCTCCAAGCCTGCTGTGGAGTTTCTGTAGCGGCACGTCTTCGTTGCATCTAAGCATCTCGCGAATGTCTGACACATGTCGTGGCATGTTGCTCAAGCCAGCTGGCAGCAACGTTGGGTGCTCCCGACAGAGCCCGCATTGAGACTTGTTTCCAGGTGAAGTACTACCAAGCTAAGCCTGAAGTGTTGCCCTGAATGGCCATCAAGCCTGCATCTTGCTGCCAGATAAACCACAAGCTGCCAACTGCACTGATTTGGCGCTTTAATTCGAGTCAGTACATTCTAGCTCTGAGTAGTCTTCATTCATGATATGAATTGCAGGCTTCGCGGAGCGTGCAATCAGGCATGCTTCAAACTCCAGCGGTGACGACTTCACCCAATGCAGCCCAGGGTCCCTGAAGGAAAGGACATTGAAAATGCCAATACTCCACGCCCTGCCATGGCCTTATGGTGACCGTGTTGCCTCGACCAGATCGCAGTCGTAGCCCGCCGGGCTTTGAGGCAAGTTGCCGGTTGATTTAGTTTAGTGTTTTCGGTAGGTTTTCAGAGAAGGTTTGGTGGCTACAACGGCGCATCATGTGCTTTAGTACTTCTTGATTTTTTTTTAGAATTTTGGATTTCTTCAGGTCAGGTCGTTGCGGAGGGGTTGGTTTTAAGAGATGTTGCCTGGAGGTTTGTTGAGTCCGTCTTTCCGGATTCAGATTTCTTTGGGCATTGGGAGTACAAGTGGACCACCGTGAGCTAAGCTCCCACTTGCAAAGCCATTGACGCTGTAAGTATGCCCACGCAATGCTTGGCGACGGTGGCCGAGACCTCAACAAGTCATGGCGAGCGATTTCCAATCAGGTGCATCAATCCTCAGATGCGTGGACTATCGAATATGGGTAGTATTATTACTATTACTATAAGTTATCTTTATTACTACTATTATTATTGTAATTACTTTTATTGTGTAATTGAAGATGGATCTCCCAAACTTTGCCAATTATGCTAGCCCCTGTTGTGTGGCTACACAGTCTTAGGGTCTGTCACAGGAAGCCTTCGGAGAGGAATGACAGTTGAACTCTGCAGATTTTCAACTCGAAGCCTAATCTCATATGATCCCTTTCAATCCTTGCATACGGCCTTACGAATAGAAGCTCTTTCTCATCTAGCCCTTGCAAAGCTCCTGTCCTATACAACTTTCGCACAATTTCTGTTTGCATGATGTGTTTTCACACCGCCGCTGCATGGCGGGGATGTCGGAGCTTCTCTCTTCATAATCCACAAATTAGTTATAAGATGGGTCCACCCAAAGTACCATAATCATTATTATCCACAAAAGTTCCCCCGAATTTCGGGAAACCTCCATGGGGGGGAGGCCAGCTGGTATCTGGACCGTGGTCTCCATGATTGGCGTCCACGCCTGGGCCCTCAGCGTGTTCAGCAGCCTGGCAGCAGGAACGCGCAAGCCTGGAGTGCCCACTCCGCTAGGAGTATGGGTCATGAGGAGATGCCTTTCTGCAGGATCTTTTAGGTTCATCTTTGGATATCTTAGGGAAATCCCAGCCAATAGTCGCACAGCTGCTAAGTGTAGGTAGAAAGCATAAAACATCTGTTAGTGGTCGAAATTGCAGTTGTTGCAACAGAGGTCCACCCACGACTTAGCCGTAAACCCTAAAGGTTGGCAAGCCAGCCCAAAACCCAAAACCCCTTCTTTTGAAGGAGAGTTGTCTGTGTTGGTCCTTTGGAGGTTTGATATTAGTGTGGGTCCAGTGTTCTTGCAGTGTGGTAGCAGCTCATCTGGGCTTAGCTTCACAACGCAGCCTGCAAAGCCTCGCTGCAATTCCAGCATTTGCAAGGTATAGCATTGCGCTTATCACGCCCGTCAACGTGCCCCTTGGCATCCTGTTGAAGCCTGAAAAATCTGAATGCTTTTTTTCCATCAACTTTTCCGTTGTAAGTTAGGCTGTGTATGGATGTGCCACGGGAGCATAATCTTATGTCACAGGAGTCCGGAGGTGGGAATGTCTTTCGAGATCCTGAAGGTTTTGGGGCATGTCTGGGATACTGATAGGCGCATTTGGGTACTTTTAAAGAGTAGGGTGCCGCTGCATACCCAAAAAGTCTTCGAATCATTGCCCCACAAGGGATGGAATGGGACTCTCTTTACTTCGGCAGTACAGTAGCCAAACTTCATCTTTTTGGACATATTAAGGCCTTCTAAAAGGAAAGTCATTTTTTTGTGGCCTAGGTACTGGACATCTTCTATAGTAGTTTCCATTTTCTTTTCCATTATCCCCATATAACCCCCATATGTACCCATAATTTACCCATAATAGATTATAATATATTTATATATACCCATATTATACCAATACTAGACGGCAATATATTATAATATACCCACAATATACATCGTCTAAGTTGCAGTAGCTGCTTTCCGTTGGGGTCCCCCGCATCCAATCCTGACCTGCAGCTGCAGGAAGGCCCAAGCCCCGAGAATGCCGATACTTGCTGGTTCTTAGTAGGGAGCATGGGAATATATTCTTTTAGGAAGTGCAGGGCATAGGGGAACATATTCTATAAGGAATATAGGGAATATAGGAGTATATTCTATAAGGAAGTGTAGGGCATATGGGAACATATATTCTATATGGAATATAGGGTATATGGGAATGTATTCTATAAGGAATATATAGGGGTTGTATTCCCATGTTCCCGACTAAGAACCAGTGGAGATATCCTCACAGTAAGGCCAGTGGTGCCAAGCAGGGATGTGAAGCTGCCGCTGGTCGTGTACTTTCCAGGATTTCGCGCAAAAGCTTTACAGACCTCCCCAGATGAGCTACAGTCTACACTACGAAGACCTTCCTTAAGAAGCCCTATAATACTCCCTTATATACTCCCCTGTACAATCCCCGTTCAGGAGTTCAGGCTATGGCTCAAACGTGGGGCTTTGTAAAGGGGGTTTTAGGCTAGAGGGGAACATATACTGTTTGGGGATCAGGGCTTCTGGATTAGAAATTGTGGTTTCTCAAAACAAGTGGCCGTTGAAGACGTTGGAGATACGCACGCGTCGGAACTGGGTTGCGCATATGCCCGGGGGTTTCCGTAAATTGGGGGACCCTTTTTGGGGGTACCTGTACTGGGGATTGCAATATCTTGGGGCCCATATTGGGGTCCCCTTGTTTTTGGAAACTACCATGTGATGATGTCCCTAGGGGTCCTCCAGCTCATGACATACTCATGACCTTGGGAATCCAGAGCTGCATAGAGGTGTCTCATGCAGAAGCCCTATGCTGAGGGATTGTGTGCTAGTAACTGCGGGTGTGTTTCCACCAGCTTTCCTGGCCTTTAGCGGCAAGGATAAGTAAGTCCATGTTGGGATATATAGGTGTTATATGGGTATGTAGTATATAGGGATATACATTTACATTTATATATATATATACGTATATATATATACATACAGATACGTAGAGGCTATATAGGGGTATTCAGAGATTACCCTTTTGGACTGTAGCTCCTAGGCCGACTGTTTGCCTCGGAGCGTCACATCTTGACACCCTGGACTCGAGAACCCATCGTGTAAACTGTAAATGCCTCCGGAAGCCTAATACCATCTCACCCATATTCCTGCTAAGCCAACTGTGAAGCTTCAACATGAACAAGGTATTGAGGTACTTGGGCATTGTCAAGATTCCTTTGAAGTCTTACCAAGTTGGCTTTTCCAGCTCTTGTCGGTGGCATGACCTCCTCTCATCATCGTGGCCCTAAATTTAGCTCTTGCAGCTCACTTTTATTTGGCACCCTTTCTTCATGGCAACCTGTTGTTCCTGTCATCATCGTACGAGGTTAGTTGCTCGTGTTACCCTTGTTGTTATCCTTCATTTTCTTGGGCAGCAGAATCATGCAATACCATCGCAATGTTTTTTGCGGTTGCTGTATCAAGGCCGATCTTTAAGACACCCAACATAAAAAAGGTCAAAGGCTAAGTTCTGAGAATCGGTAGCTACAATTCGCAACAGCATCTTCTTTTCTTGAACCTTAGCAAACTCCTGCTCTGCAAGCCACTAAACGCTCAACCCAATCAGAATCAATGGAGGGAGCAGCAGAGTGGTTTGCTTACTCAAGACCTTCTACAAACAGCTACTTAAAGCTGAAAGAGACGCTAAACACACGACCCCCAAACCCGGGCCTCCCCGTTTCCAGGACTTGGCGACAAGTCCAGTGTTATCCACGAGCGCGCACAGGACTGGGCCAAAGCTGCCCCCGAGTCCTTCCTGCTGGCGGGAGGGGGGGTGGGGGGGTTGGGGGAGATGAGGTGCAGGCTTTAGGGTACGCTGGCAGGGTGCCACGATTTCGGCATTGAGGGAGTGTAGACTTGAACGGATTAGTTTTTTACTGACAATTGTGCGTGAGTGTTTGTTTTTAGACTGATTTACATGACCTTTTCTGGGGTACCAAGGGGACCCTCATTTTGACAACCTATGATTTCTTCTTACTTCCTTCGTCAGTATCTTATTGCAGAAAATCATCGTTGTTTGAGACTCATGGTATCGTATCAGCGCCAGTATTGGTACGTTGATGCTTATCATGCTGGGGCGTCGCTGTCTTTTCAAGCTCATTGACTTCACGTTATGATTGCCATCATCATGAACCGATGGAAGGGAGGTGCCTTTTCCTTCTTTTGGGTCATTCCTAGGCTTACCCAAGCCCGTCTTTTGTGGCAGAAGGTGATATCATTGTATTGAGAGAAGGCTCATCAGCACTGTCTGAAGCATTTCTAACAT